TTACAGGATTAAATCCCCAGACCGAGTCTGTATCGTCATTATTTTCAAAGGCACCCCAGGTTGACTCATCAAAGCTCCTGTCCAAAAAAATAATTTTTACAAATAATAAAAGACAAATAAACATGCCTTTACTATGACTAGAAAAAACTGTTGGATGTCCTAACATTGCCGTAAAAACAAAACAGAAACAACCTATACCTGTGTGTCTCCGCATCTGCTTCGGAGCTCTTTCCATGGTGGATATCAGAATATTCAGAGGACGGGCTTTCTGCATGAAACCTTGCAGCTGGACTGCTCTGAGGGCTTCTCACAAGCTCATCTTCACTGAGGGTATATAAAGACTCATTCTCCATAGGACGTTCTCCAGTACTCGGAAAATGCCTTGGCTTTTCATCCAAGTTGGACAAGGAATCTGGAGTGAAACTATCATCTGCAGAACCATTGTCTCCATGAACAGAGGCGGACTTTTCATTTGGAGAGACTGGTGCATCTTTTGCATCAAATTTGAGCTCATTGACAAATCCTGGGAGCCAAAGGAGACATTAGATCCTTAAATTGTCTGGGTATGACTCTCAAATTGTAGCATCAAATGCAGCAGAGATAACCCATAGAAAGCATCAACCATGTCCAACAGTCAATACTAGCAAGAACAAGGTATACCTTCATCTTCAAACTTATCCCAATCCTCATCCCAAAGAGCCGCTCCCCCTTGAATTCCAGGTTGCCAGCCTTGAAGACATTGCAAGAGAAATACGCATTAATAGAGCTGTAGTAAGTTATTCAAAAGGTTTGGTACGTTACGAGACATCCAAAAATTAAAACCAGGTGCATTCAAGTGCAACAAGGAAATCAACACGAGAAAAGAGCATACAGATTGTTGGGCATTCCATAAAAAATGCCAAACAGAAAGTTTACTAATTGACAGATATTAACTGCAGTTAAAAGCAACATCCAAGCTTTTCCTAAAACACCATGCACAGGAAATACAACATCATAGTTCTTAACAAATAATAAACCAAAAACCTCAAACTTCAAATTTGAAAGAATCAATAGAGAAATTAGATCTATATCACAGGATAACCCAGTGAACAAGTACCAGTCGTAAGTCAAAATCTTATGAGAGACAAAGAAAAATCTTCCCCAATTGTACAAGCCTTGTGATCGGTTAACTACATATATCAGACACAAAACATACAACAAGAAACAAGAAAGTTCCAAGAAAATCACAAGAAGAAAGATGATAGAAGTTAGTAATGGATAACATCATATTCATATAACTTAATTGGAACAACCACCAAGCTATTAGTGTCGCAAACCACTTTTTATCATAGAAGATCAGAAGGAAAAATCATAATATAAGGTCCATAATCCGACTAGAAATACCGAAAGGAATCTCAATTAAAGCTTTTGGTTTAACATCTATTCCATGTTTCTTGCAACGCTCAGTTAGAACCTTCATTAGCTCCTCAAGATCTGATTGTATGCGATCTGCACGGACCTAAAGAAGCAGCAATAGATCAATGTTAGGCAAGTTTAAATACGAACTTGTATTTTCTTGTTATAGCTAAATGGATTGAATTTACCTGGAGGATACCATCTGCGCTGCCACCTTGTTCCATATTAACAATTGCGTGATGCAATTCTGTCTTTCTTCCCTGATGACCAGGCAAAATTGAGAAACAAAATGAGATTCATAAGATAAATTTTCTAGAAACAAACATTTAGAAGACTGCTTAACAATATAGAGAACATGAGAATAAGACACCTGAACCAAAATGATGGCAAGAAGCCCAGAAAAGGAAAACAAATTATGCTATATCTCATCAAGGAAAGAAACTAATATTTTGTGCTCTTCTTACCAAACACAAAGGGTAAACAGTGAGACACAAAGGGTAAAGTTAAAATCTTTCTGTATTCAGCTAAATTACGTAACGTCAAACTAAAGAGAACAATGCCAAAGGTCTGGAGAACCCAAGGGCATCTTCAAAAAGAAAAAAGAACAAGGAACTGTTATTACCTGTATCTCACGAAATCTGGCATCTTCAATGGTTAATTTGGATGCTACTTCTGCAACTTGTTTGTACTTTTCTTCATATTTTTTTGTCAATGTCTCTGCCTGTAGCCCAAAACCAACTCAGAAAATTCTTTTGTGAGCTAAATACAATTTTTCATAGAATTAGTCAATTAGTAAGTACCTCACGTTTATCTGCAGATGCTCTTTCAGTGATCTCATTTAACCGATTGTCACATCTACTTTTATATAACACCTGATATGAAATAAATAAATAAATAAATACCATGTAGAGACAAGGCTGATATGATAATGGGCCAACATGAACTTCAAGCTTTTTTATGTATATGTTTATATGGTTATCTTAATTTCTTCGACAGAAACTAATAAAGAGAGAAAAGTACCAGCAATATATGCCAAGACCCTTTCTCTACATGGTAGGACAGTATTTAGTAATGATATTAAACTGATTTGTTTAACAAGAATCACGCGAGCTAACTCTCAACCAGTTATAAGAATTGCCAAGATTAGTTAACGATTTTACTCCATGTTTATGATATTCTCAATCAGGACAAGCTATCTGAAAACAATGGATGTTGGATAGTCTAGAGAATAGGATATAAAAGGAGAGAACAGATAAATAAAGAGGAATCCGATGATCAAGGTAAAGAACGAACAAAGTAGAGGAGACAAAAAAGAACAGAGGGAGACTAAAATGGAGATATATCAAGGAGACAGAATAATAAAGAATGGAGATAGAATATGAACCAAAACCCTAGCAAAAAATTCTCAATTCAATATTGCATAAGGTTGTCTAGGTTATTACAATGAGATTATAATACCAGCTCTGGGTTTTTGAGGAGTTCAACAGCATCTCAAGGCTATAGTATTTGCCAAGGCAGTGGTTGTAGGACATATCTTATTCTCCTATTATTAGTCTCCTTTTCCCCTTGTGTGACTGCTGCTTCACAGCCTATCTAGCAGATGGAGAGGATGAAATAATCAATCAAGAAATTGTTAGACTATAAAAACTGTACAAGCAGCTAAACAGGGATGGTTTACATTGATGAAGTTGATGAGATGACTAAGATTCTCTTGCCGTTTGATCAACATCTTATTTTATATTTCAGTTAAGGTTAAAATTTAACTTAAGGAGATTGATATGAGACTGAAAGCTACTTTCCAAGTTGGAAGGAAAATATTCAGCACTGCTCAAGACAACAGGCAAAGAAGCAGTGTGTAAATTTCAGAGTTTCTAAAAGACAAATAATTTCACCTTTTCCTGGACAAAGAAGGTTGATTGGTTAAATCAATTAAGTCCAAATTGGATGATGGTGACAAAGTCACCTCTGCGCAGAAAATTCCATCGGGATACATCTTGGCTGAGATCACAAAAAATAGTTGCAGGAGATTTCTGACTCTTACACAGCACGAGGGAGGTTAGAGCTGGAGAAGAATATGTGTGAAGGAAGTCAAAGAGCAGGATGGAAGGGTTTTCAAGACATTGAAGCGATTCTGCAGGAGAGAAGGAATAGCTCCAACCAGCCAGCGGCTGGAAGTAGTAAAATGGAAACTATTCTAATGGTGGATCAAATGGTGGAGGGTGGCTGAGAGTGGCTACAGGCAGCAAGACAACGAAGCAAATTTTAATTTTTTAAAGGTGTAAAATCAGTCCTACAAATAAGGAAAGAAGCAGCAATTAGGAGATGGAGGGATATGGACACCCAGATAGTTATGGAGAATCAGCAATTGTTAGCAAGTCATTCCATCATCATTAGGTTGACCTCAAAAAAGGAAGGAAAGTCCGCTGCCTTAAAAGAAAAACGGTTCAGCAGAATTCACTCAAAAATGCTCGATTAAATTGGTTATGGACCAAAATAAAGGGGCCCAATTCAGAAACAAAACAGCCCATATATGTCTCTCCTACTGAACAACTTAATTGGGGCTGCAAAATCAGGCCCAAGGGTAGGGGGAAAAGGGCCGTTTGGCAACCCAAACAGAAGAGTCGAAAGACCTAGTGCCTATCTCCTATCTGATCCAATTCAACAAGGTCGCAGGGTCCATATCTCAATGATGCCGAGAACACTGTTGGACAGAAACAGGCTGATGACCAACAGCTGAGTGAGTGAGCCAAATGCTAGCATCAGAATGATTACACACCTAAAATCCATTACTATCGCTCCTTCCCAATGTTGACAGGCCAAAGGGACAGAGTGAAAGTGTGCGCAGATCAACGGGAGAAGATACAGAACATCAAGGACAATTTTATGGCAGAACTGGGCGAACAGTCGGTTCAGATGGAGCCACCGAATCCGAATACTAAGGCACAAGAGTGGTTTAGACAAACGCGAGGTGTTAGATAGGGCAACCCTCTCTCTCCCTTTCCTTTTACTTTGATGGTGGATGGGTTGAGCAGGATGCTGATTAGGGGTTTAGAACGTGGGGTCGTTGTAGAGGATATGCGGCTGGTAAGGATAAAGTCAAGGCATCCTAGATCAAGTTTATTGATGATAAAATCTTGTTCCTATCACAAGATCATAGATCAATCTCTAGCACTATCATAGTCATGAGGGTTTTCGAGCAAGTGTCGGGATTTTGCATCAATAGGGCCAAATATGGATTAGTAGGGATTAATGCGGATAATAGCAAAGTGAGAAACCTCACTGAGACAATAGGGCGTGGGACCTTATCTTGGCCATTTATGGTGGCAACCTTAGGTGTAAATCTTTTTGGGACGGCACAGTTTAAAGTGTCTAGAAGGTTAGGATGTTGGAAAATGAGTCTTTTTTCAATGGGGGGTAGAGTATTCAGGCTTGTTTGTCTAGCATCTCTCTTTTTTAAATGTCCTTTGTTTAAGGTTCCGCCTGACATAATCAAGCAGGTAAAGGGTATGATTAGGAATTTCTTGTGTGCTCGGTATGGGAAGAAAGGAGGGATCACCTTGTGACTTGGGAGGTTTGTTGTAGGTCTAAAACTTTCAGATGTTTTGGTATTGGGAATTAAAAGTCTAGATATTTATCATTATTGGTTAATTGGCTTCGGCATTTCCTGCAGGAAACTAATTTTTTGTGGCATAAAATTATCAAAAGTGTTCATGGACATCAATAAAATGGTTGGGATGCAATTGCAATGAGATCTTCACAACAGAAAGTCCCTGGAAGGCGATATCTAGTTTGCGTAACCTATTTACACCTCTAACCAGATATAAGGTGGGGGATGGCACCAAATTCCTCTTTTGGGAGGATAAATGGATGGGCGACCACCCCCTGGGTATCCAGTCCCCTCTTCTTTTTTGTCTATTCTCCAACCACAAGGCACCAAAAGTCCAGTTCCTTTGTCTTTTAAACGGCACTGTTAACTGAGATTTTTATTTTTTCCGGAGCCTTAATGATAAAGAAGCCATTGGACTCCTATCCTTGTTAAGCCTCTTAAGTTCTTTCTAGCCCCCTCTCAACAACCTGATTATAGAGTGTGGACCTTGGACTCTTCAGGTTCATACACTTGTAAATCTTTCTTTCAATCACGCTACCAAAAATCCAGATCGCTACCATAGCCTTTTTACCAAGGCTTTCTGGCAAGTTAAGGTTTCGTCTAAGATAAAGGTGTTTGTGTGGACTGCTATTCTAAATCGGTCAAACACTAATGAGCTGTGCGAATTTGTAGGCCTAACCTTGCTTTATCTCCTGACATTTGTGTGATATATTACAGAGGTGGGGAGACACAAAATCATTTGTTCCTCCGGTACGAGATAACTTGAAAATTGCAGGATTTTTGACACTCTCAACTTGGTTTGGGTTGCAGCTCCTTCATTAGAACGTTTTCTTAGCTCAAGAATTGGTAGTTGGCATTAGGCTAAACCATCATTGGAAGGTACACTTTGCAAAATTATGGACGATTTGGTTGGAAAGAAGTCATCATATTTTTGACAAACTTTTTTTCCAAAATCTATACTTTGGGAGAAGATACCTTCTTGGCTTCCCTTTGGGCTAAAGCTCATGGGAATTACATGGATATCTTTCTGTCTGTTTTACATAAAAGCTGGGATGCTTTGGTCACGTGAGATGTTCTCAGCTATGTCTCCATTACTTTGTATTTTTATTTTTTCGTTCTCTTTTCTGTTATATTATTTTTCAGCTAGATGACTTATCAGCTGCACCTTTTGTATTGGTCCTTTCTCTTTTCAATAATACTTCTTTTTAATCCTAAAAAGAAGGTTGTCTATGTCAGTAGTCCTCATATTAGCACTAATTACAATAAAGAAATAAAAGATAACAATAATTAAGATGAAACTATAAAAATTTCTAAATTCAAATCAAAATCAAAACGTGTCCAAAGAACCTTAAAGAAAACTGAATAATATTAGTGATTACAAGATGTTTCTTATCACTAAAGTATTCCCCTTTCTCTTTCCATTCAGCATCAGTTTTGTACTAATCAAAAATGGTATACCACAGTCATAATAACGTTTTTTATCATACAAATCTAATAATTCTAGAAACAAGATCTTTTCTAATTACATCATGGATGAAGCTTATATTTTCCACATGCCAGCAGGTATCCCTATCATAGAAAAGATCTTTTTTTTCCAGATACAGCATAAAGCCTCAGGCCAGCAAAATCCACATGATTAGCAATTACAATCAAATTTCAGGATAGGCTGGAGGGACAAAATAAACACTTCGATAAAGACCTATATATCCTATCTTCCTTCTTGGATAAGATAGAAGGTACAAGCTTCCAACATACTACGCTAGATGCAGAGCCAAGTGGTAGATAGAGGTATCAACTATATGTACAGTATTTGAACTCATGGAATACCCATTGAACCTCTTATTTTGTAAAATGGATTAACGAACTTCCTACATAATCCCTACTCCAAAATGTTGATTTTAGTCGAAGTCACTCCACTATGTTATTAAACCAATCAACTATTGAGTGGTTTGAGGTTTCCCAACTCAAGTTAGAACTATGTTAGTCATTAATGCAACCAGTCACCCTAAACGAACTAAGCCTGCATGCTCATATCCATTTTAATAAATCATCAATGAGGTATTTGAAATACTGATATAAAAAAAGAAGGCAAATAAAAATGGAGATAGAAACTACTCACAATGTCCTGCATTTTTGAGCGGTAGAATTCAATCTTCTCCTTTGAATCCAAAATCAAATTCTCCTTCTCCTCACCCTACAAAAAATGTAGGAAAAACAATATTTTATTTTATAAAGACGAAAACAAGCACTCAAACAGGTCAAGCTAGATAGTCAAAAAACCAAGACAGGCAATTAATCTGAGTTTTCCCAGACAGAGTGCAAATGTAAAAGCACAAGAGCTAAATAAGATGCCTTTTTTACTGCAGATGTGGCCTCTTGAAATTGGGAGTTCACTGAATTCTGCTCCCCATTAGCAAGTTGGTTTGAAAAAGAATCATCGAAAACCTGATCCTTTGGCTTTTGCTGACCAGATAATAATCCACTGTCAGTATGAGGAGCAGTCCTAGGAATTGGTGGTCTTATACCAGTCGCAGGAGTGACTGGCTGAGGACCTGTCCCCAATGGTTGCCCAAAACCTGCACCAAAAAAGCAACTGAATCAGCAAAAAAAAAGAATTGTTTTTGAAGGAACTAGAAAGAAACATCTTTGATCCTAAAGTGGTTGGTGCAATATGTAGTGTAAGCAATATTAACCAATACCTGGACTGGAAGTCCAACCCGTATTTCCATAATTGGCATTCTGTTGACCTGTCATGGACAATAATGTCTCATCAAATATAGCGTTGTTAGGAAGTGCTGCTGGAAGAGGACGACCTTCCCTGTAGCGCTCCATCAGATACAAAGCAAAGCAAAACTCCCTCAAAGAAAGCATGCTGTCATTGTCTTGATCGGACAAATCCCACACCTGCTTCAGCACCTCTGGCATTGGCCAAGAAAGACAAGTTTAGCATGTCTAACTAAGGAGCAAAACAAGGTTGTTACTTGCTAGAGGATCTCCCTTGAAAAAATTCTAAAGGAACACGTGACTTCCAAATGACATATAACACAATGCACAATCCATATCAGACGTATGACAAAGAATACACGTTAAAGAAACAATAACCATAGAAGTATCAACCTAGCAGCGAAACAAGTGCTCACTGCAGTCTACTTCATTTCACAAGTTTGACACCATAAAGCTATTTGATTACCAGAGCATTACACTAGCCAATGCAAACATGATGACTAAAGTCCAAACAGTAGATGTAGCTACCAAAACATGTGGGTCATAAGCTAAAACAGTATTTGCACAAAACTTTTTTCTGATTGCTAGATAATTATCAGCACAAGACAGTGTATTGCACTGCAAGTTCTTTTATTAAATCAGAAGATCTACCGTCAAGCATTCATGATCAGAAGGTTAGAATGAATTTTTTCTCTTCTGAAACGCAAGGGTTAGAATGATGACCGGCTGGTTCTAGAACTCTTACCTCTAGGCAGCCTCCAACTCAAAAACAGATTCCTTGCCTGCTCACCAGTGATTTTTCCATCTCTATCTATATCTACTTCCATAAAAACCTTTGAGTACTTCTGAACATCAGATGGTTTCATCTTTGGCCATGGAAACTGGGAATTGCCAGAATTTGAATTACCAACTCCACCCGCAGTCCCCGATGCCGTCAGTGATGCCGGAGTTTGACCAGCAACCTGCTGACCCGAGCTCATTGATGGCCTAGTGTGAGGCAACTGACTCCCTGTAGGCTGCATGGAGAAAGCACTCTGCAAGGAATCTAGTGAATTGGTCCTAGCTGAAGGTTGAGGCCCCCTAGAAACTGGAACAATGGGTGATGTGGTACTCCCTGTAGGTTGCATCGAGAAAGAACTCTGCAATGAATCAAGTGCATTTCTCTTAGAGGAAGGCTGAACCTCAGTGGAAACTGGAACGACGGCTGATGAGGCAGGTGCACTGCTAGCAGAGTAAGAAGGTCCTTGTTTCTGTGAAGAGTTCACAGAAAACATGTCACCACCGAACACCGAGTCAGAAGGAAACCCATTTCCAGAAATAACCAATGATCTAGAATCATTTGTTGTAGGCTGTGAGGACATAGCAACGACCGTTTGTGGCTTTGAGGCAGCAGCCACTGTTGATGGACTAATCCCTCTTAGCTCTGTCGAGGATCCACCAGTCCTTCCACTGAACCAATCATTTGAGCTGTTTGGACCTGACATACCCGGACCAGCAATACTAGGAGACACAGTTTGAGGTGGACGGGCAGCTATAGCAGAAGGCATGGCTTGATTTTGACTGGGTAGATTACCCACCCTGTATTCTGGACCAGCAGTAGCCAGTGATGGATGGGGAACACCACTGGCTGGCATAGCTTGAGTTGGTCTCATTGAGTGACTCTGTGGAGAAGGAAAAAACTGCTGGTTCATGCTTGCATTCGGAAGGCCTGGTCCTCTGAAGCCAAAACCTTGAGAAGTTGTTTGTGAAATTGAACCCGTCTTTGAAGCTGGTGCAGCAGCCATTGAATTGAATTGATGTGCAGGAACAGCTGCAAGATTAATTTGTGGTGGTGGAATTTTTGCTGCAGCAGGACCATATAATGCTGCCTTAACAATATCTGGTGTTAATTCCCTCTTGCTCTGAGCTACAGTTACGAGTTTGAGAGCATTATAAAATTCTTGGCGACCAAGGAAACCATTATGGGACTGATCAGCATGCGCCCATATCTGGGTTCATATAGAACAAATTGATCAGCATCCAACCATAAGATGAAGATTGAAAAATCATGCTCAATTAATTCGTTAAGTTCCTTAAAACAACTTAACAAACAGAATACAGACCAGTATTAATCTAAGTTTTAATAGGAGTATAAGACCTAGCCACTTAGAGGGAAGGTTGAAAAGCTAAGTTCTTTCCCTTTGAAAACAAAATACCATCAGATGAAGGGCAGAACCATTAATGCTAAGCCAGGAATGCATATGCTTAAGTCTTCAAACAAGTATTAGGTTCCACAAAGTACAATAAGAAATAAAAAATGTTTACCGTTCATAACAAATGCTATTAACAGACATCTTTTTTTGAAAAATGAAAAGTAGTATAGTAGTATTGCTATAAGCATCAAAGGTGCAAAAACATGTAAAGTCATTTACAGCTCAGTCCTCCATACCAAAAATATTCCTAAAAGTCTCAAAAAAAACCAGAGGATGACCCATAAACAAAAAATTTAGCTATTAACACACATCTCACTGCCAAACAATACAAACCAATTTAGTGACTCACTATAATGCCCATAGATTGAATTCTGATATCTCCCCAACAATGATACTTTCTGACATCATCTTGCTACACCCCCACGTATAATCAGTACTCCTCTTGTTTTGTTTGAGAACAAGAAGAATCCATTAAATAAAATCAATGGTCTACCACCCAATACAAAATAAATATACAAGGCTATCAAAAAAATAGTAGACCTCCTCATCACTCGTTACTACTAATCATTGAATGGTTTAGTATATCTACTTTTCCTGTAAAAAAAAACATGAACTGAAAGTTCTCCAACCATTATGAAAGCTTTAGCTAAGAAGTAACTCAGTGGCTTTAGTTGAATATTTGATGTTGTTAACTTTTAATGAATACGATAGGGGTTAGGACACAACCGTTGTTGGTTTTTGCATGACCACCCAGTACCAGATACACAACTGCAAATCCTGTCAAGAAATAGACCAACCACCAAGAAACTGATACTCACAGAACTCCAAAGCCATCACAAAATTAGACCTGACCACCAAGTAGCAGATGCTCACAGAACTCCAGAGCCATGTCGAGAATAAACCTTAAGCTATGAAACATGCATCTTTAACTACTACTTATCATCGATAACCTAGAACCCAAAGAAGTTCGTCTATTTCCTCTAATTGTTTATTCTCCAGTTCGTAGTATAAGTCATCTTAGAAATGACTCACATCCGAGGAAAAAATTTTCATTCTCGTTCTAGGAATCTCCCCTACCCCTATGTCTTACATCAAAGAGGCTAGGAAATAAAACATGATCGCATCCAATGTCACATAGATTGTGTTGACATTTAATTTACTGAAGTAAAAGACGTCAATAATAAGAAAGAGACTATCAAGGACAGGATAACCACATTAAATTCATACTAAAAACGCAACCATCCTAAAACCAAATTTATTCCAAAATTAAGTCTGAGCTAATTCAGATTCCCATTTTTATCGTATGAGACAGCTCGTATTACACAAACAGAATAAGACATCAATAAGCAGGCAAAACGATGGGTATAAACACAGGCGATAGAAGCAAAAGTGACGTGGCGAACCTGAGCAAGGACATTTTTGGGCAAACCAGATCCTTGAAAGAACCCTACAGCTTCAGCTCCACTGATCCTGCCATCTCCATCCAAATCCGCCCTCCTAAAGTAAACTTCGAATTGATCCACGTTCGGTACCGACATTTGCAAGCAACAAAATTGCTGAAACTACCTCAGTAACTGATTACCAAACCAGAATTCCAAGTCGATCAAAGCTCAGATCCAAATACCAACGCCTTGAACTTCATCAAATCCAATTTCAATGCAATAACAACGCCAGCGATAACAATCAAAAGAATCCGACCTTAAAAAATGGATTGGCACGGAATTTAAGAGAAAATTTAAACAAAAAGAATCTCAGCAGTCGAAAATCGGAAAGCACGGATAAATGGAAAATGGAATTCGTGGGATCGAGGGATTTTGTAAGAACCGAAAATTAGGTGGCGAGATCGGAGATACCAAAGATAATAATGGTTAATGATTGGGATTATATATGTGTATATATATATATCTTGGTAAAGTAATTTCGACAGAGAGATAAATCTACTATTATCTCGTGCGAGCGGAGATCATCTGCGTACCTGTCCTCTCGATCGAAACCCGAAAGGAACCGAGACTCACATCATGTGTCGGGGGAAGTGGGTGTTTTGGGATTTTCAAGAGGAGATAAATTACGTCAATTTATGCGATAACCCTGCTTCTTAGTAAACTTAAAAGCACGCACCTTTCTTGCCCCCACTCGTTACTGTTGAACGTTTTACCTGGCCGGTTTATCTCTCTGGTACCGGTCTAAAAATCGACCAAACCGGTAGATTGTTATGAGTCATTTAAACCGTATCTTATTGATTTAATTTTTTAAAAAAAATTATTTTATTTATAATATAATGTATATTTATCTAAAAAATATTTTGCTTATATATTGAATTGAATCACTCCATTGTTAAAATATTTTTGCCAATCTTGTATAATATAACACATTTATACCACCTTTTAATTAAAATAAAAATTATTAAATAAAAACGTTGGTTATATATAAATAAAATAAAAAATTATATCTATGTAATAAAAATTTTATGATAAAAAAAAATTGCATCATAATTGCAGAATAAATAAGTTATAAAATATTATATTAACGAAGATTAAATTAATATTTTAAGTGGTTAATGACAATTTTTTAAGTTTATAAGAATTAATTACAATAATTTTTTAAAAAAATTATGCTACATAAGATTATAAGTTTATAGGTATTATTTAAGAAAAAATAAATACATATAGTTTTTACTGTATAAATTTCTCATGACAATAATAACTAATTTAAAGCAAACAATATTTTCCTTAGGAGCAGACGAACAATTTGCCGCCTCCTCAAAATCAAGCATCGAAATTTTCCCGCCAACATCCCAAAATCTTAAACGACCATCGGCATGGAAGTCGACGGACTCCTTGGAACGATTCGATCCCAAAACGCATAGGATGGTCTCTGCAACTCCCTGTTCAAACTCTAACCCTAACCCCAAAAATCGTAAACATGTGCATCACATTGGGGGAATTCAAGTTGAATTTCCGTACCAACCATACGGATCGCAGCTGGCATTCATGTGCAGAGTCATATCGACGCTCGATCGAGCCCAAAGAGACGGCCACTTTCACGCATTGCTCGAGTCTCCTACAGGTACCGGGAAGTCGTTATCGCTTCTTTGTTCTACTCTAGCTTGGCAACAGAATTATAAGATAAGGAATCAGAGTGCAAATCTGTCTCAATCGAAAGCCGCACCAGAGGCGATGACAGATCCTTTAGCTTGTGGGGGTGGGTTTATCCCGGAAACGCAGCCTTCGAGTAAGTTATGGGACATCGATCATCGTTTTGAATTTTAAGTTACTGGGCTTAAGTTTCAGTTGAATTTCGAAGTAAGCAGAGGGAAATATTATACTGAAGAAAATGGGAGTCTGCATTTATAGTTCACATAGACGAAATAAAGAAGCTAACATTATCGATCCTCGAAACTGGTGTTATAAGGACTGTTAATTGTTTTGCAAATAAAGCAAGATATATGCATATGTTTGGCAACTTGAAAAAGAAGTTATTGATCGTTGCTGTTACTTACATTGATCATATGCATTGATCCATTGTACATAGTCTGAAAGTCGAATTCCTCTATCCTTACAGAAAGTGCTTGCTCTTGCTGGTTCAATATTTTAACTTCGATTTTGTTATCAACTTTCTTAGATACTCCAGTGACGGGAAACCCAGAGCCAGGTCAATCTCCGGCAAACAAGAACCAAAAGAAAAAAATGGCACCTACTATATATTATGCATCGTGAGTTTCAGCTATATTTATCCAAAATTGATGATGCTGATTTTGTGAGGGACCTCTCAGATAATAGAAAAATTTTCGGACCTATGCCTTTTATTCTCTCTTTCTCTTGATAGTTATTTTATAATGGATAAGGCGTAATTCCTTCCTAAATGATAATTAAAATTTTTTGAGTTGCTGTGTTTAGAAACAAATTACAATTGTATTCATAACTGTGTAAATTACTTGAATTTTATATGTTGTTTCTGTTCCTTATAGGAGGACTCATTCACAAATTTCGCAAGTGATCCGTGAATATCGGAAAACTGCTTATCGAGTGCCAATGGCAGTGTTGGTATGTCTTGCCCATTGTTTAAACTTGAAACATTTGTATTTGTAGATTGAAAAGCTTGCGAGTTTCAAGAATAATTCTACAATCTCTTTCTCATTCACACACGCTTGTATGCTCGGGCATGCTTTCTTTCCATATATCCGAGCATGGAACATAAATGCTTATACTTTTATTAACTCTATTAGTATATTACCCTATTAGGTTATGAATTCTGACATTGCTTCAGGGAAATCAACATGCCCAAAACAACAAATGGAAACATCTAAATGTTATTTCCTCATGGTGCATGACGTAATGAACTTACAAACTTTGTGTCCATATTTTCCTCGTATCTTATCAGGCTTCACGGAAACATTACTGCACAAACCCACGTGTACGTGGGAGGGAGAACATGGATGAAGAATGGTTCGCTTCAAATATTCTACTAAAACTTACGTTTGTTTTCCTTTCCTTGTTTTCTGAAACAAACTCCCTTTAAGCTTTCCCTGCTAAATATGGTGATGAAAATTTCAGCAAGCTGCTTTTGAGGGATAGGGGTGGAGGATGCTGTGAATTTAAGTGAGTTTTTCTTGCATGTACTACCTTGGTCTTATTACCTTTGGTTCTGATTCCTACTTTATTATGGCATTTGATTGGTGACAATTTGCTGTTGTTACAAACAGAAATGTTCATCGAGTCAAATATCATCCATCATTTCAGAAAGGGGGTTCTCACGAGGTCCATGATATTGAAGATCTTGTGAAAGTGGGACAAGTTGTTAGAGGTATGTTGTTTATGCTATTTTTAGCACAAGCTGCATCTATCTGTTCAACATCTTACTGAAGATTTTTCTTTTTTCATTGTCTAGGCTGTTCATATTATGCAGCACGCTCAATGGCAGATGATGCTCAGCTTATCCTTTGTCCATACAACTATGTTATTAATCCTGTCATTCGGGGAGCAATGGATGTAGATATTAAAGAAGCCATTGTGATTTTTGATGAAGCCCAGTATGTTTCATGTTTCTCCTCAGTCCTGATGTTTGTAATTTCTATCTAAAATGTAGCACAAGTAATTTACAGCAGGGACCCCTGCCAGTTTGCTTAGATGAGGCAGAATCAATTCACTCATGTATTTTTGTGGAGTCAGAAAAATCACTCAAATACGAGGATATACTCTATTTCTTCACTTAGTAGTAAAGAACCGTAATATGTTTCCATATGCCACAATGTTCTCATGATCACTGGTGGGTGATGAGAAACCCTTCTGCTTGGTTTTTCTTTGTAGAGCTTCCATGATTCTCTTCTATAGTTATCAAAAGAATGGTGTCTGTTACAAATTTTAGTGTTCATTTGTAGCTGTAGCATGAGATACTGAGAATTAAAATGATTGTGTTTTCTTCAATTTTGTTGAGGCTGATTTATTGTCTTGCACAAGTAATTAGAGCTATTTCTTTTTAGAGATCTAGAAAATGATAGTCTTGTGATGATCCGGAGTATTCTTTCACTTGTTTGCCCTTACATGCCTGTGAAAGAGTTGCCTGAAATTATTTTTTTTCCATCTTGAATAAGTAAGGTGGTAATTTTTTTCCATGATTTTGTTTGACAAGTTTGACTTCTAAACATTTTTTATGTGTTACAGTAATATAGAAGATGTTGCTCGTGATGCTGGGAGTTTGGATCTCGAAGAGGATATTTTGCTCAGTAGGTTAAAGCATTGCATCTTTTCATTTTCCTCTTATTAGCATGATTTTGTTACTAAATTTCATATTACCTCACAAAAGAATTACAGACAGAATTAGAGCAACTCTGCTTAGTTGATGCTATTATCTACCAACCTCTATATGAAATGATACAGGTAAGGGTCATCTTACTTAACGATTGTTAAGGAATTTTATCACAGTAAACTTGTGAAAATTGACTGTTTTGGCTGTCTAGGATCTTATAAGTTGGATTGAACATAGGAAAAGTACACTAGAAAAGCGTGAATTTCAGCACTACATCTCTTGGTAAGTTGCTTTACAAGATTTTTTTGTATCCTTTTTAAATTCACAATTAATACATTCTTGTTCCTAAGCTATCTTAAAATTTGAGTGATGCCTAACCTTGTAGGATCTGCTTTCTTTTGAATTTCTGTGCTTTCTCCTTGATTTGCCAAACATAAAGATATAATTGTACAAAATGTTTTCATTCTGCATATTTTTTGTAGAAGGAAAACCATATATCAGCTCTGTCTAATGTAGTTTCTCACTGTCTTAGTTCAAATTAAGATGACATCACTACACAGATAATAATCATCTCCTAACATATTATTTTTCATATTTAAGCAATGGTTAACCTGCATAAAGCATATCATGCATGTTTTAAGATCACGAGGTGTCCCAAATAGTTGTGATGTGAGTAATAGTGTTTGAATAGTCTAATAATTGATGAACTTAAGGTGTTGAGGTGCAAGATAGACAGAACTGAAGTTATAATAACTTGGTGGTAAAAGTACATCCTTCCATACTTCTTCCTTGTAGCCAAGAAAATGCTTAACTATAAGTGGGCCGGTTCAAATGTTCCTCCTAAAATGAACTACAGATAGTACTTGATACTTCTCAGCAGACTAAATTTAGTGTTATCAGCTTGAGAGTCTCCTGCAAAATTATTTGTCATCATATTCTCTAAATTAAGATCTATGCATTTCTTTTTTTGCTCTGTGTTTTCTCACCATCTTATTTCGAGTAGAAATACTTTATAGGTTTTCCTTTTGATTTTATTATTCATTACAGTTGGACTGGTGAGAAGGCTCTAGTGGAGCTCCAAGAAGCTAATATCTCGCTGGGATGCTTTCCAATATTGTTAGAGTGTGCCACTAAGGTAGTTTATTTGCAATCTTCTCACTCGACTGTACTCCTTCACCAATCACTTACTATTGTCATTTTCATGAAGGCAATAAAAGCAGCAACAGATACAGAGTCAGAAGCACCTCATCTGAGTGGCATGTCAGTTATGACCTTGGAGGGTACTTTCTTTTTTTTTTCTAATTTATGAGTACCTTCTTGATTGTTAATTATCCAGTGTTTAAGTCTCATTTTTTTATGTTTGCCCAGAGTTATTTTCTTCGCTCACATATTTCTTCTCAAGAAATGGAAGTCACATACATGATTATCAGCTTGTTTTACAACGATATGTCAAGAGAGATGCCAGTAAGTTGTCTATAATGTAGATTCTGACAATTCACAAGTACCTTTCTCAGTTTCGAAGCACTTGGCTTCAACTCTTATTACTATGTGCAAATTTTTATGACTGAATTTTGTATCTCAAAGCGCAAGTGTTCAATGAAGGCAATAATTTCTGGTGCTTCATTTATTACTCAGGACCTTAATTTGTGTATTTAAGTTCTGGCTGTTTTCCTCTAAATTCTAGCAGATAAATTACAGCATTGCCATTTTTAACCATGCAGACATGGTTTAACATACCTCTCTTGCAACTCAAACATAACGTTGTCTATACACATTTCTTAAAGTGAAGACAAGACTGTTATGGAATAATTAAATTTTAAATTGGCCAAGATCTAGCTGTCTCTTTCGATGGTTATTGTCACGGCCAATACCTACTCCTCAAACTGGTTCACCGGCCAGATAGGTATGGGGAGGACCCACTGCATGAAGAACGAGTCTCCTTCAGTAGGGTCATCCTCTTTATTTTTACTAGAATTTAGTCTTAATTTCAGATGTACTTCTTTGATAAGAATATTAGAATTTCAGTTTACCTTGGTAAGGCTTGGGTTTAGGTTTTCTTTTAATAAATTATGATCAGCTCAAGTCTGATATAGGAGCTGGTTACCACAACTTCTTCTATATATATAGCTACATCATTAAATCATCTAAACCTCAAAGCTAATTGAGAGTAGTCCCAAGAGACCAAGGGTTCTCCAATGATCCTAAGTTATCAACATATGGAACGTTGTGGGGAGTGGTTGCACTGCAGGATGACCAAGTGCCTAAATGGTTATCCCGATATTTTTTATCACGTTCAAATTGTTTCCATCATTACTCTTTATTTCTTTTCACTTGAAATTGTATGAAGAGCTTGTAATGTTCACCCTGCTCTGCATGCAGAAAATGCTTTTGGTGGCTGGACAATTTCTTTGAGCTTGTGGTGTCTGAATCCAGCTGTTGTGTTCAGAGACATTGCTGATCTTTCTTTGTCTGTCATTTTAACATCTGGGTAAGCATAATGCACAACTGATTCTGGATTTCTGAACTCTTTGTCCAAACTACAAAATTCCTCAATAAGTAACAGTTAAAACTAATTACCAATGCTAACCCATTAATCACTGGCTTTTTACTTTTCTGAATATCTTTTGTTTTTGAGTAGTTGTTAATGGATCAAAGACCTAGATGATATGCCATCATCTCAAAAACACACAGTCACATTTTTGTTGGACATGGGACCCCTTGTATTTTTCTACATCTTAGGGAGGATCCTCATGGTTTCTTATTTTGTAGTGGTGTGTCTTCGCATCTGTTCCTTGGCATTCAGTTTTGTCATTGTCTTAATTTATCCCAATATATATTCTTTCCTTCATTTTTTTAAAGAAATGAATTATTTCTATTGCGCTATTATTCAAACTTTTTTTATGTTAAACTTAGGACCTTGTCACCAGTGAATTCCTTCTCTTCTGAGCTTGGAGTTCAGTTTGGAACATCTCTGGAGGCTCCACATGTTATTGATGTTGAATCACAAGTATGGCCTTGCAGATTGATTATTCTTCGGTTCTTAAGAGTTTTAGGGTTCTAACTAAGCTTTCTGCTTCAGGTGTGGGCTGCTGTGATTTCAGCTGGTCCAGATAATTACCCATTGAATGCAAGCTACAAAATGGCAGATTCTTATGCATTCCAGGTATCTTTTCCATTCTGTGATTGGTACTTTCTTGGCTATATTCTCATATTTAAAAAAAAAAACGAAATTTCTTGGTCATGTTCTTGTATCATATCTGACTGAGTTATTATTTGTATTTTCTTTCTGCAGGATGCAGTTGGAAAATCCTTGGAGGAAATTTTCAAGATTGTTCCAGGTGGCTCCCTTGTATTCTTTCCGAGTTATAAGCTGATGGAGAAACTGTCCTCTCGTTGGCGTGAAACCGGACAATGGTCTCGTCTTAATTTGAGAAAGTCTCTATTTGTTGGTACAGCATTTCCTTCATTTTTTTTATACTATAGAAATCATCATGTATTTGAGGAAGAACTTTATGCATTTGGTTATTCAATTATGCTTCCAGTTAGACATGCTTAGATTTTAAAGAACTTCAAGTTGATAATGATAAGTTAGAGGTTGATACTGCAGAGCCAAAAGGAGGAAGCCAGGAAGAATTTGAGCAGATTTTAAAAGATTATTACAATTCAATTTCTCGAGGCAGTAGACCTGCCGCCGGGGGGAAAAGAAGAGTTAAGAAAACAGATATTGATACAGTGGAGTTGCAAGGAAATCTCAAGGAGGGAGCTGCTTTTCTTGCAGTGTGCCGAGGAAAGGTATTCATCTTGACTTGATTGTCTTTAAGACTTCTCAGCGTTGGTTGCTTTTAATGGATCAGTTTTATTCTCAAACTATAGAAAATTGTTGGAACCTTGGGATGTTGTGTGAATCTGATGCAGGACAAGTAGCAGTTGGACTAGCTTGTCATGCAGATAGTTTAGAAGTACAAGAAATTTAGGTGGGAAACAGAAGAATATAAATAAACTAGAGGAATTTAGGATCAAAGTGGAGATATAACTCTAATAAAGAAGTTCTTAATTCATCGTTATCTCTTCTTCTTTGTTGGTAGCTTCTAGTTTTTGTATAGATATTAGTTACAACAAATTAACAAAATTGTTAAAAAGAAAATCTAAAAGATTATAATTTTTATAATATTTAAATTTACCTAAAAAGAAACTAAAATATCATAATGTCTCAAGTAATAAGGGAAAGTATAAAAGAGAAAATATAAACGACTTTAAGTTCTATAATATCTAAAATCTATTTAAAAGAAATCTTTTTAATGCTTAAATGAACTTTAATAACTTTAAAGTACAATATAACAATAATTACAAAAGATTTCTTTGATAAAGAACTTTGAAATTAAGATCTAGTTGTTCTGCATGATTAATCTTCTAATGATGCCCATTTGGAAGGGTATAAGGAACTTTTTTTCTTGGTCCATGAGATGCCCATGTAATTTATGATTATGATTGATGTGACAATCCCTTTGGTAGGTCCGCATATTGATGTTGTTATTTTAATATGATTGTGGTTCTGTAACTACATGATGTAACATCTGTTCTATCTGGGTATGTTTCATGTGCTTGTAGGTTTCTGAGGGAATTGACTTTGCTGATGATAATGCTCGAGTTGTTGTATCCTTTCAGCTGTCTCTTTTCTCATATTTGAGTGAGGAACTTCCTGGTCGCTTGTCCAACAGAAATCCTGTTGGACAAGAAGTGGAATGGTTGGCAACTGCATTCCAAGACCTGGTGCTAAATTCCTCTGTGACAATTCTTCTTGTTTGCATCTCTTAAAACATTGATATGGTTAGGAATGAGGCATTTCTTCGATACCTCAAAATATACCTGCATGACATTTGGAATTACCACTAGCTATCTCTAGTTGCTGAATGGTCACATATGCCTGTCATTTGTTATCATTTTTGACTATCCATAGTTGCTATATATGATTATCATATTATCTTTTTTTACTATATATAGTTAGTTGTTGCATGTGATTACTTTGTTACTTTTCTTGACTATCCATAGTTTTCGTAGATGACTATTTGACCATCCATAGTCTCATTGTTTCTATCCATACTTTCCTAATTGTCATCGATGATTGCTGCATATGGCTATTCATAGTCGATAATTGACAATTGTGGATAGCCACAAAAACGAAAAAGATAGTCAATGACAGCAATAATGGATAATGACATGCAGCAATATGTGATAACCAAAGACGGAAAAAAGAATAGCTAATGATGGCAGCGAAGATAGCTACATCAAGAACTGTGTAAAGCAAAAAAAAAGAAAAGAAAAACAAAGAATAGGTCTATATGAACCCAAATGGTACTAATGTACGGCATTCCTGCAACTATGACTTGCTAGTAATAGTCCCACATATAATCATGAGCTAACAGTACCTCAAAGTACATTGAGGTACCACAGAGAGCTTCTTGAGAATATGAAATGTATTCCTCTAAATGATCAATACCTGTGCCTTGTGGATTCTTGACTGTGCCAGATAGTTGTTGGCATTCCTTTTCCCAATATGTAAGACTTCCAACCTATTCATAAAGCTATTTGAATAACTGAAAAGTCATTCTCTAATCCATCTGAACTTCTTACCAGAAATGATATTCAAGTTGGATTGAAGAAAAAGTATAACGACACATACAAATCATCCAAAAACCTTCTGAGTGGTAGTGAGTGGTACTGCCACCAGGCTTTTCGAACTCTAAATCAAGCCATAGGTATGCCTTGCCTCATTATGATTCTCTTTAACGTTAGCAGCTAAAGTTTGCAGTTCTGAAAAATATGAAAGATTATTGTTATTTCTTCTTAGCGTATACAATGTCTCTATAATCTCTACATTACAATGATATTAACTGACTTTCACTATATGTAGGACGTTGCATACGGCATAGATTTGATTATGGAGCCATCATCCTATTAGGTAATGTTTTTGAAATTGATTATCAAATATTGTTTGCTTTGGTATTTTTACTAGATATGACTTTTTGGTGATTGTAGTTCTATCTTAGCATCAATGCTTGAGGTTTCTTTCATGTCATGCTGAAACGGGTGTCTCCTCCCTTTTTCATTTTGTTCAAGGGAAAACAAGCCCTTTGAATTATGTTTTCATTTCTTTTTAATTAAGGAAATTCTGGCTCTATTTGGTAAATAAAATGTAATGAATAAATTTCACGCAAAAAAATAAAATAGATATAAAGTCCTTTACAAAATGATTAATTTAGAATTTAGTAGCAATGAGAGATAAATTCTAAATTTTTATTCTTTTCTATGATAAAAGAATATTCATCTGCTTCGATCTTCAAAATGGTTCTTGATTTGAGGTTAAATCTTAAATAAATTCATTTTTTTTTTGTGATTTTCTTAGTTTGAGGGTGAACTTTACTTGATCTTGAACAAGGTGTGGTAGAATTTTTATTTGAGGCAAACTCGCTTGATCTTGAAACTAGAATTGATTTTAGTAAAAACGATTTATTGAAGAAATGTTGGAAACTTGTTGTTTCTTGATCGTTAGACATTTTTTGTTAATTTTGAAAGGGAAATCTTGACATGTGGAGAGTGCTTGGATTTCTGAAAGTCTCTATATTGACTATGGAGATTCTTCTATTTCTTGGTAGATTTGGAATACCGAGGGAGAGATGTGCTCTTATTATTGCTTTTAAAGACTTTGTGTTGTCTTTTCTGCAATCTTTTCCACGGTGCCCTTCCAAAATATCGGTGGATGACTTCTATTTACAGAAGTAGCATGGTGATTTTAGGGTTTATTTAGAAAACTATATAGTGAGAATTGTAGCAACATGTGTTCACCTCTTTAGGCCCACTATTTAATATAAAATCATATTAATCAAAATGTGGCCTATGTAAAAAGGAACTAAATTTATTGAAGCAATTGGGTTTTGTCTAATTTTATTTTAGATATGAATTGAGTCCAATTAAATAATAAAATTGTTTAATTATTTTATTATTTAATCAATCAATAATTTTTTATTAACTAATTAAATAATAATTTGGAAAAAAATTTAAAAATTAGGTGTCTACAAGAATATATTCTTATTTTCACTCATACTCATATTTTTATCAATAAATTTTATGGAGTACTTGTTCCTTTGAGAACAAACAGATACATTAGTTGACAAGGAACTAATGTTAAAAAATATATATGAAGGGTATGAGCCTTGGAAATTTCCACGAGTTTTTCAAAGAGTATCTAGAAAATGATAGTAAATATGTCATATAAGTCTGAATAGAAAAAACGAACTATTTTTAATGTTTATAGAAATCTGTTTCTATTCATACTAGAATTAAAAGAGTACATAGTTTTATATGTGCACATATTTGTATTAGGAAATGAAAACAAGAAAATATTTTCACGTGTTAAAAAATCCTGTGTTTTTTTTTCTTTTTTCTGTTTTTAGTGCCTAGACCTCAGAGGGGAACAGGTAAAAAGCATGAATGAGGTGAAGACTGAAGGAAACAAAACACTTTTTATTAAATGTATCAATAACCAGTTAACTACAGCATTTTCTGAAAATGACTGAACCAGCACCACCATTATCCTTGAATTGAATCTCAATGGGTGCTTAAGGATCAAAGTGGTTTGGGGATAAAGATACATCAGTTTTGGGCAATGGAACTTGGGCATAGGATTTATACTGAACAATGAATTAACTATCTTGAGTGGTGGCGTTTTGTTCACTGTACTGTAGCTAAGTTCAGAGCTTTGTCCTTCTCTAGTCATTTGTATCAGGATGGTCCGAAACAATATCCATCTCAAGTATTTTAAGAACAAAGTGAAATGGTGACAATCCAGCAATCTTCACTGTTCCAGTTGGTTTTGGGTTCCTCTGTCCTGACATCCAGAGAATGTTTGATATACCTAGAAGGCATATATTTGTGGAAAGTAATTCTTATTTTGTATATCTATTTGTCAATAAGTTACTGATACAACTATATTTGTAAATAGATGAGCGATATCGAGAAGAAAGGAATACAGCATACATTTCAAAGTGGCTAAGGAAGTCGATTCGACAATATGATCACTTCAACACATCATTAGGGGGATTAGAATCATTTTTCAAAGATGCGAAGGTTGCATGTCTTCCTCTGTCTTGCCACCATAATTTCATTTAAGCAATCACTAACTTGTTCTTCTGTGCAAACATGATTTAGGATCGGGTTGGCAAAGCTATTGCTGATTCAGGGAATTATACAATCAGTGAAGAAGACACCCTTTCAGTGGATCAGAACAAAGAGTTTACAAGTAGGAAACATGAGAAAACTATCAAGTCTGATCATCCTGGACTGAAAGTACTTTCTTGGACCGTATTCCTCTTCATTTTTCAGTTCATCTATTAAACAATTTAAATTGCTTCCCTGCCTAAACTTATCTACTGGGTCAGGTTGGCAAGAATATGATCCACTTGCAGAATTTTAAGACTGTTGAGGGAGACATTCCTTCTATGTACCGAAGAAAAGGACTAATCGAACAGAAAAATCAGAAGCTGGACAAGTCTAATTCTGTGCAGAGTAAAGTTTGTGCTGAAAAATTTGACGGCACTGCTCCTTGGTTGAAATCCAAAGGCTGTGCCAAGTTTCAAGGATCCTTGCAAACAGATCATGACACCAAGAGCTGCAAGGAATACATTGACCTAGAATGCCATTTTCAGAAAGATTCTAGGTAAATGAAAAATCACTTCATTTGATAGTTCTAGGATCAAGTTAGATTTCGTGTTAATGCAAGAAAACATTTATTTGTATGAGTTTGAGTTAAAGTCACTTGTCAGGTAAGCATTATTATGCAGCCTTAACTTTGAAAGTCTGTTCTATTCAGTCCAGTTTGCTTTTAGACAACCATGTTTGATGCCATTTGCTTGATTGTTCTACAAACCTAATATTGTACAAGCACATCCTGTTCATGCTGCAATCACTATATTGCTCAATATACATCACAAGCTAAAAGGCACAGGTTTGCAGGTGCTTGGAGCTTTTATCTGAGACATTCTCCCCTGAAGACCCTGAAATATCCATTGTCAGGGAAACTCCTGGTATGAATGGTACTAATTTCACAGCCAGTCCTTATTCTTTTTCCAAGGATGGGAACTCTACTTCAACCATAATTGATGCCTCTGTGGAGTCTTCAGATCAATTCATGCCTCACCTTGGATCTTTACTAAAATTGGGTGAAGATCCTTCAAAAGCTGAGTCTTCAATGATAGTTACTCCAGAAAAAGGTGTCACTGCTTGTGGCCGCCTCTTGATACCGGAAATGGAGTCATCTGTGAACTTGAGTGTTAATTCGCATGCCACAAAAAGGAGGAAATCAGTGGGGTCATCATTAATTGACCTTGTCCAGGAGGAAAGTTCTGACACTTCTAATGCCAAAGCTTCAGGATGCATGAGTTTCACTAGAAGAATTGAATTTGGTTCCCAGACTAGCTGTCCAGGACAAGATTCCAAGTCAATTGTTTGTCAGTTACTTGCTGAGAATAAGAATGATGCTTCTTCATATTCTGTTAATGACAGGAAACTACAAATTTCTTGTTCACTTTGCAGAAGCCCTCTTGGTCTTCCTGAAAATAATTTATATGTTAATTGCTTGTTTGCCTCATCGTCAAAAGCTCACTTGCTGTCTCTTCTGAAAGATAGATTGGAATCTGGTGTTAGACCAACAACTATCTCAGTTATCATGACTGATATTTCATCAGTTCATCAGCGACTCTGTAACAGAGCACTTGAAGGTGCTGTTGGTCAAGGTATCTGGTGTGAACAAGATGGGTGCGTTTTTAGTAATATCTTTTGTCCCTTCTGCAGCATTCCCAACAACTGTCTTGGAGCACAGATCATGGCAACTGATTCATCCAATGTTCAGTTACTTAACAAGGTATGTTTTATTTGAAACGTAGCCTAAGAAATGTCTTCCAGCATGTTGAATTGGAACACCTATTACTTCTGGATCTTCCAATTTTATGTGCTTCAAATGGAGGTTAGCTTTTCTCATCCTACAAAATATATTCCCTTTTTCCTTTGTTCGTATGTAGGTGTTATTTTTTCTCGATCATATAGAAATTAGAAACTCTGATGAAATTGAGGACAAGGAATCAGATAAGGCACCAAAGGAGAAGGTGCGTCAGTCTTATCTTTGATTATTTCATGATTTTCAATTTGTGGTTTGTTAGTCTTTTTTATAATGCTGAGAATAAAGGAGACAGGTTAAGAATTAAGATTCTGTGACAAAAAATTGGAATAATGAGAACAGACTTGCATAAGATGTCCCTTCGTGTTTGGTGTATGCCTTCTATCATTAAGAAAATGCGAAAGGCTTTTCCCCTTCTTACCTTAGGTCCTGATAAACCTCAATTTTGTGACTGTAGGACCTTAAAGTAAATGCTACACCTGTGGATAAAACTTCTACTATAAAGGCCATTGATAATTTTTCGTACTCTGCAAAGCAGAAAGATTTGGGTGGCTGGAGGACTACAAAATCAAAGGTGTTATAAAATTGTTTAATTTTTCAGCTTTTTGGTCATGCTTTCTGCTACTGCAAAACTTACATATATCTGCATTTGTGCAGCTAAGACTACCGAAAAGAGGATTACGCATTAGTGAGGAGGAGTAATGTCCATAGCAAGCAAAAAAAATTTGCCATTGTCCTTTTGTTATGGCAGGTGATAAGATGTACTGCCTATTCAATAAACATCACGATTGCAAAATTTAGCCAAGATGTGGATCTTGCGAGCTGTAAATTTCATTTGGAGATGGAGGCAACCATTGACCTAACTATTTGATCCTAATTTTCCAACTGCAACATGAGTTTCCTCGTGGCTGCCTGCAGCTGTGCAGCTTCCCAAAGCCTAATTTATGGAGTTGACCTTTGTTAATAAAGGTAAGAATAATGATTTATTCTCTACAGTTTTTGTAATTTACTCAACTTAGTTTTTAATTCAATTTTTGATAAGATAAGTCCTTATATTTCTGAAAAAAAATTTAATATAGTATCTTTCTTCGGATTAAAATTAACACTGTTAACGTAAGTGTCATGTGTCTAACTTATTTAAGTATTAGTTGAATATTATGTCAGACATCTTTTGATATCTAATACGATATTAAAAAATTTAAATCTAAATTGATATGATAATTTATCAGTCGTACCGAGCAAAATAAATAAATTGATCATATGATACTTAAGTTGATGATGTTAATGTCTCTATCGACAATGAGAGATTAAATTAAAAAATTTTATAAACAGTTTTTGATGTTTCAAAAGGTGTGTAGTTAGGATAAATGATTACGAAATAATTACAACTTTCAGATTCTAATGAGTTTTACGAGAAAAATAATAATTACAACTTTCAGATTCTAATGAGTTTTACGAGAAAAATAATGTGGTAAAGAAATCTGATCCTGTTTAATTTTGGTCATATTAGCTTTTGGTTCAAATAGCAAGTCTTATTAAATGTAAATCTTATATATTAGAGAAAGTTATATTATGGCAGCAAGTTTATTTATTCATTCATAATCACACATAGGTGAAAAGTTGTTCATCTGAATAGGTTGGCCCCAGACATCTTATCTTCAAATTTGTATGCTAGGTCCCAGGTTGCAAACCAGAATTAAATTTTCAAGAAGAACTAAAATCTTAAAAGTGCACAGCCATAGATAAAAAAAAAATAATAATAATCAGGAGGTGAGATCCCTTTTTGTCACTAGCATTTTAAAACTCCATGCAATCACCAGGTAATAGGTGTCATCCTCTTTTTTATGGAACATGCAAGAATCTAAACTGACATTACCACTGAAACACACAACTTTAGCAACCCACAGCATTGCATTCAAAGACAAAAACTAATATATTGATAATTAATCATCCAAACCCTCACCAGCAATCATGCCACTGCCTGACAAACAGTTGATAATTTCGTGTGGAAGTATGGCAGTAAGAAACTTGAAGGAATGGACAAATTCCAAATATCAACAAAATCAGCAAACAGAATGGGTCATGTTCTGCTTTGTACAGGAAACAGGCTTCTCTCTACACAAGATGAAGCTTCTTAACTAAATCACTGAACTGCGTAGCAAAACACATCGAATAAAAGAAGAAAAACATGTCTACAACAAGAATGTGAAGTCTTCTAAATTCGTAAATTAGAACTCTATTACACTGACATTTTAAACTGCTCGACAAACAGTTTAAAATTTCATACGGAACCGAATTAGATAAGGAAACAAGTAGGAAATAAACAATTCAAGGAATGGACAAAAATTCCAAAGACCAAGAAAATCAGCAAACCGAATGGGTCATGTTCTATTTTGTAGGGAAGTTGAGGATGCAATATTCACCTGATATATAACACAGAGAATAAAACGATATATAATCTTGAAAACAAATATATAACGCACCCATTAGAAGCAACTCGTCAACAACTGGTTATAAAATCCAAAAACCAGAATCAAACACAGACGAAAATGAAACATGCTTCCACCGACCGTACTTCAGCTAATCCAAGTAAAACCCAATACGGAATAAAGCACAGAATTCTGCTCAGAACTCTCTCAAATTCTGTATGGCACAATCATCCACAAATAGTAAGGAAGGCGCATATAACCCAGGAGAAAAACCATATTATGCAATTGGGAGTCACCGAATTTAGGCCGGCTACATGGGAGTCACACCATATGCGTGAACAGAAAAGTGCATCACATTCTTCTACCATTACACAACTCAACTATATACATGAAGTGCAAAGTGCATCATGTTCTCGCACCACTATAACAGCATATTTAACATACGGGGAAGCAGTTTATCATAAAAAATGTAAAAAAGGAGAACATTGAGCAGGAAATATCCCATCTACAACTATAAATTTCTGATGTAGCAGGGGAAAATGATAGAGAATAGAGATATATTTTCTTAGAGAAGGAAGTATCTAAAAGTAACATTAGAACATCAAACCATTACATAAGATGAGACACAATGTTGTCACGGCCTACAAGACTAAACGCTATCCTCCCTGCTCGATCCTACTCATTGTCGTCTTCCTGCACAAGATCAAAATAGACTTCAACAAACAACTCAAGCCAGTATAATTATCAAACAAACCTCTATGCTAGCATCGTCATCATCCTCATCATTGACCTCTGGCATTGACTTCAATGAAACAATGAGCCCCCATTCAAAATGTTCGTTAAGATTGCCATGGAAATTCCTGGAAGAACCGTCCAAGAAATACAAGACCATTTTTTCATGCTGATTCAAGACGTAGACAACATCAACCCGGGGTAATGTGCCACTGCCACCCTATGCCGACAATGATGACAGCAATGGCAACACTGCCGACAAAGAAAAATCTCTGGTCAGTGCCACCTCTCATCAGTCTTGTAAGGCTAATAGAGGTGTCTCGTGGACCCATAAAGAAAATGAGTATATATGATTAACATTCTTGAATAAGATTTAAAATTAGATAATGCAATTGTGATTGACCCAATTTTTTTTCTTTTTACAGCATGTTTCTAATGAGAGTAGAGAAGTACGGGAAGGAAAGATAGGTGAAGCATTTCGAGGCATTGTGTGTAGTAAAAGACATCAATCCAAGTTGCGAGCCATGCGTAGAAGTATTTTAATAAGCTTTGGCAAATTGAAGCAGTTAAGAACAATCCCAAGCCGTCAAAATCTAAGAAGGCCGGCGGCTCCAAACGTACTGCAGCTTCTTCTGCATAAACTGGTCATGAGAGAAATTCTAGTAACACATAAACCCAGCAATTATGGAAGCATGATGATCAGTTGGAAGCTGATGATAATGATTAGAGGAATCCCCCTAAGGAATACGGCGGACACCAATAAAAGCAGTAGATTGCAGCTGTTTGACTATCAAAGAGAGTACCAATGAAAGGTACTAAAGGAACCACAGCAACAGAATTAGCAACAATGGGTTGAGATTGAGCCAAATTAGGAGCAAGGAGAGTCGGTGCAGCAGCAGCAATGGGGGCACAGACTCTCATTATTCCTAATTCGGCTCACCTTCAGCCCATTGCTGCTGCTATCACTGTGATTCCTTCAGTATCTTTCATTGGTACTCTTTCTTATCATCAAACAACTATAATCCGCTGCTTCAATGGATGCCGGCGGTATACTTTACAGGAGTTCCTCTGATCATTATCATCAACTTCCAATTGATCATCATGCTTCTATGGTTGCTAGGTTTATGACTTAAGAATTTCTTTTATGATCAGTTTATGCTGCAGAAGCTGCCGGGCCTTCTTAGACTTTGACGGCTTGAGATTATTCTTGGCAGTCTCACCTCGGTTGAAACTTATTAAAATACTTTTGTACATGACTTACAACTTAGACTGGTGTCTTCGACGGCATACAGTACCTCGGAAATGCTTTGTCAATCTCCT